TTTAATTACACATCTCTTCAAATAAAACTGAATGACATTCTGTAAAAAAAAATTTTTTTTCTTCTCTTTGTGTCTTTAGTGAAATATCAGGCTCAGATGTTTTCAGCTCTGTGTCTATGAAAAGTGACCAATCAAAAGGTGATGGACCAAACTTAAGTGAGAAAAAACTATCATCTGCCAAAAGGTAAATTCATGTGTTTCTTCAGCATTTGTAGATAGTCAAAGCTAGGTAACCTATAATGTTTTCCTAAGACTTTTGACAGGAGTCCACATTTGAAATCATTACATTACATTAGACTCCACTATTTTTCTCTAAGGTCTAAAAAAAATATGTAAATGCTTTAGGATTTTGAATAATTAAAAACAAATGGTGCAAAATGAAGAAGAAAAATGATTATTCTGCACTAGTTCTAGGTCACTAACTAAATATAAGTAAACGAGTGACATTGACCGTGTGACTCTTTGGACAGTCCAAAGAAGAAAAATTGTTCTCAAATAATTTTCAGGTTTTGTTCATTTCAGCTCCAGTGCCGCTGTTATTAAAGTAACAGAGAAACATAACAAATATTGGGCCATTCATATTTAAAGAACTGTGTAGCAGGGACATGTCCATTCTCCATTTTAGTCAATAAAACGTTGTGTTCTGTTCAATTAAGTTTATCAAATATATGTAAGTTACAGTCATATGTATTTAATGTCACATCTGAGATGATTTATTCATAAAAGACATGGTTAAATGTAAGTTAAACTGAAATGACTGTTACTTAAAAATTGAGGGAGTATGTGCATGTTTGTGTGCAGATATCAGACACAGAATCTCCTGTAGTGATGAGTTTTTTCTCTCTGTTCTTTGTGTCATCAGTGAAAGATCAGTCTCAGATGTATTCAGCTCTGTGTCTGTGAAGAGTGACCAGTCAAAAGGTGATGGACCAAACTTAAGTGAGAAAAAATCAACTACCAAAAGGTATCATCAGTGTGGTGTATGTGAAAGAACTTGACCAAACAAAACACTAAATAAAAAAAAAATATATATATATATTTACAAAAAATTCTTACAATCAGTTTCTTGGATATGTCAAACAATCTGATTCAAAATTAGCCAAAAACTACAATATGAATATTCCAAATTTGTACGATACTGTCAAAACACCCTTACTCATTTAATTTTATAGAAGAACAACAGCAATATATGCCTACATATAAAATGTATTCAAACGTTCGAGGGCAAATTATTTGATATTATGAATCAGTTATTTGAAACAGTTCATTTACTGTAGCTCTTGTAGCTCAGACAGTTAAGCATGGCCCTAGTAATACAGTTGCATAAGCAAACACTAGGGGCATTATTGTAAAACAAATCAGACAATCAAACAGAAATCCATCCATCATAGTTGTAAAAAGAACAAATCCACTGCTATTCTATACGTAATTGCCATTTGCAACATTACACCTCTTTAAATGACACCAAATTACCTGTCCTGTAGTGAAGTTTTTCTTCTTCTTTGTATTAGTAGGGAAAGATCAGGCTCAGATGTTTTCAGCCCTGTTTCTGTGAAGAGTCGCCAGTCAAAAGGTGACAGGCCCAATTTCAGCAAGAAAACAACACCACATACCAGAAGGTATTTCATGTGTTTTACATTACAGAGTTGTGTTAGCTAATTTTCCCACTGAGCTTTAAGTGATAAATTAACAAAATAAAACAATAAATCACAGAACATTGTGTCTGGTAATCTGATTTCTGTCCAGTAATAAAATTACATAGATGACCACCAGAAACCTGAATACGTCTATCCACCCATAGTTGTAAAAAGGACAAATCCACAGCTATACTGTGTTTAATTAGCATTTGCAGCTTTACTTCTTACCAGACATAAATGTATCCATAATTAGTGAAACGCGCTCATAATCGAATGCGACTCATCTGCGATTATGAACGCGATATTGCATAACTTGCTAGTGATCTACGGCTCTGTATTAAATGCCGCTCCATCTGAAAGCACGCGATGGAGATTTATCACAGAACCGGCTTTACTGACGAGATGCGCATGACAATCACATGTGATGTTTGTTTGTTTACACTGACAAGCTACGCAATATCGCGCTCATAATCGAATGCGACTCATCTGCGATTATGAACGCGATATTGCATAACTTGCTAGTGATCTACGGCTCTGTATTAAATGCCGCTCCATCTGAAAGCACGCGATGGAGATTTATCACAGAACCGGCTTTACTGACGAGATGCGCATGACAATCACATGCGATGTTTGTTTGTTTGTTGATCACAAAGTACAAAGTAGATGAGGAAAACTAGGATGCTGGGTGTATTCAAAGCGCAGCCATTACTGTCTAGAGTGCTTGGAATGGTGCGCTGTGGTTGGTTGAGCGGATATATCACATTCTGCAAAGAAAGGAGACTGTGGCGTTTGTCACGGTTTGGGAAAAAAATTGCCTAATAACTCGTGCGGATATCGCATTTTGCGTAAAATTAAAAATGGACTTTTCAATACCAACCAGATACTACTCAATTTTTTAAAAAAAAGGCGTTTATCGCGTTTTGGAACCAAACTCTTCAAATGCTGGTGACTTTCTTGTTATTGTAAATCTGCATTTCCCATTAACACCTTTTTTTCTTTCTTTTTTTTTTTGGCTGATGAATGCTGAATAAAAGTCAGTGTAACAGTGTTAAGTACTCTTTTTATTTGCGTGTGATTATGTGAATATTTTACACATATTAAAACCCTTGAAAAGTTCCAGGGATTAGTGTGAATCTTCATCATAACAATAGAAAAGAGCAGCAGAATGGCAGTTAGCATGAAACAGCAGGGTTTGCTCTGGCAGCCTGGAAGTTTTTGGTAATCACATTCAGGTAGAATAATAGATATCTTAAGTCACCCTTCCTATCAAAAAGACACACACTGTCACAGTTTAGAAATTAAATAGATTTTATTGATTTGATTAAATTTATTAAATTTATTAACTCATAGCAAAATTGTGTGATTGATTATCAGGGCTTGAAATAAATTTATGTGCAAGAGAGAGGTTAATGCAGTGCAACGTTCATTATAAATGAGTCAAAGTTAATAATAAGAACAAGATAGCTAGCAACATAACAGCAACATAGACTATTATGAGGGTTCCAGCTAACATAACTATGTAGCAGGGACATCTCTGATTTTTGTTTTAGTTAGTAAACAAAACCTTTATATGTTCTGTTCAGTCAGATTAATCAAATGTGTAAAATTACCAGCCTATTAATTTTCACATCTATACATTAATAAAAGAAATTAGTACATTTGAACCACTGAACTGGAATGACCATTAACTTTTGCACTTTGTAAGTGCCCATTTCTGAGGAGGACTAGAGAGAGCATGTGCGGATATCAGTAACAGAGGAATTTCCTGTAGTAAAGTGTTATTTCTCTCTCATGCAGGTTTGATGATTGTTTGCCCAAATGATAAATACAGCTGTGAACCTGTTAGTTTCTATGTAATTTGTTGTTTTGTGTGATTTAGCAACAAAGGACAGACGACCACAGTAAATATAGGTGCAGAATTTACACGGTGGGAAACACTAAAAGCACAGAAGAGAATGAAGAGTGATGTGGAGCTGGCAACTTTTCTTCTCAACCGGTGGGAACACAAAATTATCTTTTAGATACCACAATTTAACTAAAAGGTTTAATTTGCAACATAAATAATCAACCATGCCAAAGCGCATAATAAATTTTTCTATAGCATGTAACTTAGCTTTTGAAATGGTGTACACTCTGCCTTTTGAAACAAATTTAGCACTTTAAAATAAGTGTTAAAATACTCTGCATCCCATAAACCAAAATGTTCAAGAGAAATGCATGTGTTCCTAAAAAGACAACATTTATTTTGTCATGTCAGTTCTGTGATGATAATGGCTTTGGCTACGACCTTCTGACATTTTCTGTCGTTGATATGTGATGTTGTCAGTCAGTTTTTCAGAGATTAAAGACATTTGTGTGTTCTTTCATGAAATAAACAAAAAGAGAGAAAAAAAATTAAATTATAATGATGTTGAAAATGGAATTGTTTGCAATAAAAAAATACTGTTTCTTACAAATTTCTCTAATATCGGAAATTAATTTCCTAACAGGATTCAATGTGAGAAATCAGACTTCCAGAATTACCGCTTCAAAAAGAATTTCAGAGAAAGTCTTGTCTGGATCTTCCAGGTAGGAAAAAAATATTGTTTATATTAATAAATAAAGTAAATTTTTGTTTAAAAAAAATTGTGAAATAAAGTTTATATTATATCAAATACATTATTCAACAACTGTAAAATTGCATATTTTATTTGTTAAAAATAATTAATGTCTGCAGTGTTTCCCCTATGATTTTAGTTGTGTACACATCCACATCACTGCCATGATGGACTCTTTTTCATGGTAGAGGAATATCTCATAAAAACAACCTCTACAGCTTTCATATCAGCATGTCTTGTGCTGTTATCAGTAGGAAGATGCACACAATCTATTCTAACTTATATTACTTAAGAAATGGTTGAATTAAAACCTTAGTTAAAGTTAAAGTTATATGCAATCAATATTTAGCAACTTTACAGCTATGCATGATATACAGTCATATACAAAATAATATACAGTCATGTGGACATTTGGAAATGTTCATTTTCCCTAACTCAATTCTGGAAATTCTGTGAATTTTTTTTTTTACTGTTTTTGCTAAGAAGTTTACTAACATTTAATGTTGCATCAATATCATCAATGAAATGCAAAAATTGCAGCAGCAATGCTCATACATCAGTAGTGGCAGTGTGCCTGCTAAATTGAATATAGGGAAACACTGGTTTGACATTTTTCGAGGTACTTTCAATAATTTTACTTAAAATGACTGAATAAAGTTTGATATGATAACTGATTTTAACTAATGATAACTGATGCTCTAAAATTATATTAAATACTGATGTTCTAAAAATGTAATTTTTTGTCTATACTATTGTTATTTTACGGAAGTTCTAAGCGGCCATGAATTAGTATATATTTTTTCTTTCTTGTTTTCTCGTTATCACAACTTAGTTGTCTTGTGATCTCAACATAACAAAGGTTGTTCTCTAAGTTACACAACTGCGCCAACAGGTGGCAGTATAGAACTATTGATGGGGAGTTCTATACTGTATATCCACTAGATATGCATCGTGAGTCTACTGTTGCTATAGTAACGAACACATCCTTGACGGTGACATTCTAAAATGCTTAACCTGGCTTAATGCGTTAATTAAGTGTTTTTAAAAGACAAAACTCATTATACACATTATTAGTAAGCCATACTATGTACAGACAAGAAGATGAGCCCATAATAAGAACGCAATGCGTTTAATTCCGCGTTAAGCGTTTTCCTCCCATAGAATAGCCTACCGTACGGACAACACTTAACGTGGCTTAATGCGTTAAGGCAGTGTTTTTAAAAGACCAAACTCAGAAAACACATTATAAATATGAAAGCATTCTATGTACAGACAAGCAAATGAGCTCATAATAAGAACGCAATGCATTTAACGCGTTAAGCATTTTATCCATATAAAACCGTTTGTGTTTACTGAGTTTGGTCTTTTAAAAAAAACTCTCTTAACGCATTAAGCAACGTTAAGCGTTTTACAGTGGCCCCTTTGAGGCGCAAATGATCGACAGATGACCGTGCGCTCTTATACTGCATCTTGTGGATATTTCAGCAAATGTTGCTTCACTTA